GTCCAGAGTTCTGAGGAGAGCGGGTCCCCGGGAACCGAGTCGCGGACCAGCCCGGGGGTTTCCTCACGCTTTAGCACGTCCTGAGGGGACGAGTGCCCTGGACTAAGGAAAACCGTCGATCTGCGCCAAGCAGATTGCAGTGCCACCCAGGGCAAGGCAAGGCAAGGGGTTACTTATGGCTCGATTCATGCGTTGGTTTTTTAGAAATCATACGGTGTTTTTTGCCGCGACACATTTAGGGTAATAAAAGCTCATCTGCCCACTCCTGAAGGTGTTGGGATAAAAACCTTCCTCGCTCTTCTGTGTGGGCTGCCACTAGGACCTGACAGTCACCGTGTTTGGGAAAGCCTGAGGAAAGAGACTGAAATACAACTTAGGGGTTTATTGTGTATGTTCAGGGGGCCGTAAGAGGCAGTTTCTACCTGAATAGACACATCTGAGAAAGAAAAAACAGTTTTGCAAAGGGATAGGCGACTTACCAAAGTCACTTAAGAGGTGTGTTGCAGAACTAGTAACTGAATCTTGAGAGTCCCTGGGGCTGCTCCCCTTGGGAACAAATGCAAATACAATCTGATTATCATGCAGTATATTACTGAAGTTTGTAGAAGGACATATATTTATAGGCCAGCTGATAAGGCCTCCACTGTTGGATATGTTATGAATGACTAAAGTGGCTAAATCTTCTCAACTTTTCCAGTTACTCATCTCTTGTAATAGAGGAGGTTATTTCTCCCAATACATGTTGGGTCATTCATATCTTTAAACCAGTGCTTCCCACTGTGGAAATAAGGACAGAAGGCTCAGCAAAATGTAGAAAAGGCAGTATTAGCAGGAGCTCGGTTGTTCCAGGTCAGGGAACTGTGAAGTTCTTTCTGGAACAGTTCAAGGAACTGACAAGTGTTTTCTGCAAGTTTTTATGGCCACCATCTCTGATTGCTGGCAGCAGCTCAGTAGCTATGGGACATGAGGAGAATTAAAAGAGAAGCAAAGAAAACAATAAAAATGTTTATACCTGCAGCTAGATCTTGTTCCCTTAGCTTGGGAGACCTATATGTGGGTATTGCTTGGAAACAGAGGAGTCAAAAGAAGTCAAACCCTTTGCAGTTTTATATGGTTGTAGTGGCTTAGAAATACAGCTACTACGTGAGGGAATGAAGGTGAAGCCTTGTTTGCTCATTTGAGCTAGATGTTGGTCTCTTATGTTCTTTTTATATGCTGACAAGCTTCCTCTGTCCTGTGTCCAAATTCATCCAATGATTTGCCTAAGCATCAGGCATACAACGCACTGAGAAGAGTCAATGGAGAGGTGAAAGAGTCCCAAGATTTGCCATTTAAATTCATCATAGTAAGATTTTCAGCAATACGTGCTAATGAAAATATGTACTCAGTGCTGGTTAATTTTTTTTTTTTTTTAAATGCCTTGCAAATGTCACTGATGATTTCCAGACTTCCAGCAAATAATCAGTGTACCTCAGAAAGTCATGTTCTAGCAGTTCAGTTCTTTGCAAGAATGTTGCTCTAGTCACCTTTTTTTGCTCCAGAGAACTTAGGACAATGCAAGACTCCGTTACTCATTCAAGACACATTTTCCAAATATATGCACAAACAGATTTTAAATACCACTATGTTTAACCTGTATGCCCATAGTTTGCTCCCCTAAAGCTGTTCATGTGCATTTCATTATCCAGCATGGATCACCTTGAGCAGTTAATCCAATGCTTCATAGTAAATTGCATTCTTCAATTATCTGTTAATTTCATTTTGATCAAAACATTCCTTCTCTTGAGCTGTTTTCTCTCAATATGCACTACACCAGAAATTACCTTATTTAATTGTGAAGTATCTTTGTACTTTACCATGTACAGAGATTATTTCTTAATTGCATCAAATGCAGAACTGAAGACAGGTTTTTTTTCTTCTTCTTTTGGCCACTTTTATTCTCTGACATTAAATGAAAGAAATGTCAAGTCACTTTGGCCTCATGCAGTTATAGAATAATGTATCTCAATAAAAATATCATAATATCAGAACCATAGAATATTTTAGTACTGGGGCCCAGGGAACATTAATCATTATCTTATACTGTATATACT